ATATCGTATGTTTTATTTGCATTTTTCAATTTAATAGGACCATATTTTGTAAACGTTCTACCTTTTATAGTGGGGCGGGAAATTGAGAAAATAGTGCAAATTGTGATACAAGCATAAAACTTTCAGGAAATCATCTTTAGACCATGTAGATTTCAAAAGTGAAGTGGGCCCAAAAATATCTCTGCTCATTCAAGATGGCCGCCATTTTCAAAATGGCCGCCATATAAATTTGAGTACATTCTAGCTCATTCATTCCAATTTTTTTTACAGACCTTTAACTCACACCAAAAGCATGCATATAATTTCTCCTTTTCAAAAATTTAAATCTCACAAAATTTCTCTTTCATACTTCTTCCAAATCCAAGATGGCGTCTAATATGGCCGTCGATTTTGTGCAAAACTGTTATATCATTTTTATAGTATAATTTGTTGCACAAATTATGTTTATTATGATAAAAAAAGTGTTTAAACATATCAGAGATAATCAAATTATATGTAAATCTCAATAAAAGTAAACATTTTAAAAGTTTTTGTCTAAAAATATCTTTAAAAAAGATCAAGAAAAAATTCCATTTTTTCATATTTTTCAAATTTGATTTTCTAAAGTAATGTACAAAGTTAAAATAGTTACTTTATATCTTAAACTGTATTTGACATTCCATTAATATCATGTGTTTATTGTAAAGAATGTAAGAAAAGCATTAAATATGTAGGTTTTATATTTTGTGAAAGTGGGTGGGGTAATTTTATATGATAATTGTGAAAGAAAAAACAACAGAAAATCTACATAGCTAAGTTTATTCTATTTCTCTGCCTTTTTACTTTTCTATGAATTCTTATGCAAATGTTCCAACTTAAAAAGTAGTTTTTATTGGATGAAAGTAGTTTTGTCTTCCTTCGGGCCATTTGGTGGGTGAGCAAGAAATGCACATACAAACATGTGTATACATTCAGTTATTAAATTTGGTTGCATGATAATACTTGTTTCAATATATTTGATATCATATATTAATTGTTAATCGTAAAGACATATAAGAAGACAATAAATCCACTAAACGTGCTTATAATAGCAAACATGTACTTGAATGTAAGGTATAAAGGTAGTCTATAAACGCATATTTTTGACTCCTCCACAATTTTATATTTATAATATAAACATGGCTTAAAAGCCAACAAAATGTATGTGATGTAAAACATATATATCAATGATATGGCCTGGCCTGCATGCAACTTTTTGAAAAGTTAAGATACAAACTAAGTGTACTAGTATTTCCTAAAGTAATCATATCTTATTTTTTTCTTTCAATAAGAGGGTAATGATGACCCTGGATCACTCACCTAAGATCATTGTTGGAAAAAAGGTAACAAGATCATTTTGGGAGTGTCAATTATGTCATAACACACATGATTTGTGTCATAATTGAATCCGGTTGCTTTTAAAGAAACATGCTCAATATCTGCTTTCAATTTTTTATTTCACACGAGAGAACTTTAATAACCATATCTATATACGAGTCCATATAAACTTAGTGACCTTTTGTGTTTGGTAAATTTGGACCATGTTGTCCATGATATATCATTATTATAACATAATTATGATGATACATGATTAATGTATATGCATCGGATAGTGTAGTTAAGAGAAAACAGATTTATTACAGTAGTCTTTGTAAATTAAGTGATACCATTGCAAAACCATTTTAGATTGCAGTAGCATCATACAAATTTATGCATGTTATATCAGTCTACATCCCAAATATCTTATTTCAAGTCAATGAAGTTTAACAATAGATGTTCTTAATGTGTTTTCCTATACAAGTCTGTGAACCCAGGTGGCTCTATGAGCATGATTCATTAAATGTGTTAATAAAGACACAAGGTGGTGCTATATGCCAGCTTAGTACCAGTGCTAGAATGCATTTTGATTTTTGAGAAGATTTTTTTATTGCATGTACACTTAATGATACAAAAGTGTTTTATGTAACTTTTAAAGAGGTCTTCTTTACTTGGCAAGTTTATATTTTGACTATCTAAGCTCTAGGCATTACAGTTTGTTTGTTTGTTGATTTTTTTAATAACATCAACAACAAAACAACTTCAACGCGATTCCCTACACAAGTCTTTAAAAACTGTGTTCCTCGTGAGGGCCTTTAAATCATGTTCCTGCAGTCCAAAATGGCTTTCCCTGTCACTTAGTTTACATTGACTTATATATTAAAATTCTTCTCCGAAACTATGTGCACAGAAGAGAGAAAATATCGTATATCATAACATTGGGATGCTATATAAAGATTATAAACTATTGGCATAGGGTCAAAATAACTTAGTTTACATGGACTCTTATTGGAATATAGTTATATGAGTCTTCTTGTAGTTCTGAGAATCTAGTTATTGGACATGATTCTTTAAATCAGGACTGGTGAAAAAAAGATACTCCTTATAAGATTTTAGCATTCTTCAGTATAAAAGAATTATAGACCTTTTCCAGCAGTGGGTCTTAGGCGCGTGATCTAGGGTCAACAATGCTCTCTTGTTTTATGGGAAAAATAAAGTAGGAATACATTTAATTTATATTCCAAAGTATAAGCTATGTTTGTTATGTGGGTCAAGCGGTTTTATTGATACCTATATTTTAGCACACCTAGTCATTAGATAATATGATGTATCAGTCGCCTAAATTTTTGTTTCTTTTGAAAATATCATGTCTACATAAGTTATTATAAATGGACGGTACTTATTCAATTATACTTGGTTACAATGATGTGCAAGTAAATATAACTTTGAATCATTCTGTTACAAGCTTTTAGCAAGACTAAATTGTGCAGGAAATAATTGTATTCATAAATAGACAACATTTCACTAAGGTCCAGGCATGATTTTATCTAACATATGGTTCGTTGATGAATATTCAGTCTTCTTTCTGTACAATTATCAAGTTATATTATGACTATTGAAACAACTTATATCATGCAAACACATTTAATAACTGAATGTATACATATGATTGTATCTGCATTTATTGATATTTTAGTACACCCTCTAGACCTGAAGGAAAACAAAAATACCTTAATACAATAAAATACTTTTACAGTGAATATTTGCATAAGAATTCTTAAAAAACGTTATTTTGTACTACAATTGTCTGGTAAATTTACCCCACCCACTTTTAATAAGTATAAAACCTTCACATTTTTGTTTGTTTTTGTTACAATTATACAATAAAACATTGTGTTGATTGAATATCAAATACACTTTAAGAAACTATGTAACTTTTGGAATTTTGTACATAGTCCTAGAAAACCATGTTAGAGAAAAATGAAAAAAATGGCACTTTTTCTTTGATTTTTTAAAAGATTTTTTTTGTACAAAATACTAAAACATGACTAACAATGTGGTTAACCTAAAATTTGAGTTTTTTCTAATATATTTCACAATTTTATATGGAAATACGCATACCGTGTGCAAAGAATTATACTACAAAAGAGATATATCAGTTTTCATTAAAATTGGCAGCCATATTGGACGCCATCTTGGATTCTGAAGAAATATGCAAGAGAAATCGCTTAAAGATTTAAATTTTTGAAAAGGGAAAACTATATGCATGCTTTGGTGTAAGTTTCAGGTCTGTACAAAAAATTGGAATGAATGATCTATTATGTACATCAAATTTATATGGCGGCCATCTTGAAAATGGCGGCCATCTTGAATGAGCAGAGATATTTTTGGGCCCACTTCACTTTTGAAATCTACATGGTCTAAAGATAATTTCCTGAAAGTTTCATGCTTGTATCACAATTTGCACTATTTTGACAGCAGAGACCTTATTTCCCGCCCCACTATTAATAGGCTATTCAACATTGTCACTTACAATTTGCAAACATGTTTTTTAATTTTGATGATATATTTCTTTTTAACCGTAACATAACTACTTCTTCCTGGGAGATATTTACAATAAGCCGATTTAATATCTGGAACAAGGTTCTGTAATGTATACACCTTTATTCATTGATTCAAATATCTACAAAAACACCGAGTGACATATAGTGATTTTCTTATGTTTTTTTCTCGGTTGTTACCTTCTTTCATGGGCAAATTCTTTATGATTTACGATAGATAAATATTACCTTAAATATATGGAAGGATACATAATTTTGATCACATATTTTATTGAATGATTCTAGTAGTAAATTTGTAGTATATTTTTGAGTTCTAGATCTACGCTACTCGGTTATCGCGCCGCAACTTATGATATATACAAGTGATAATAAGTGAAATGATGTTATTTCCTTTCATCATGTAAAAGCCAATTTCATTAAATTCAAAAATATGAAATTGTAATGCGCATTAATATGCCCCGACTTAAACAATAGGAGCATACTCTGAAACGGTAAGTGATTTAGGTTTCTTGATAGGGTCATTGTCCATGACAAGTAGATGATCAACTATTGATTTTGAGGTCATTAGGTAAATGGTCAATTTCATTATTGTCTTCACCTCTCAAGCTTGTCCGACCACTTAAATTATATCTTGTTTATCATATTTTTGGCCTGCAGTTCTTTATTTTAGTATGGGGATTGATCGTGACCCTATTGATTTTAAAATGAATTGGACAACTATTTCTTATCGATCATTAATAGCTAATTCCCTTCCCCTTAATACGTCTGTTCAGATTTAAACCAAATAAAACCAACTATTGATAACTTACATAAACAATTGCAGTAATAATATCAGATACAATATACAGAGCATGTTTATAAAATTAATGGTTTGATAAGCACTGTTGTTTTATAAAACCAGTAACATGAAATATATGATTTACAATTTACATATCACAAAATTGAATAGTTTTCATTCAAAAAGTACAAAAGGTTCATTTTACTGTGCTTTATACAATTTCGTTACACAATGTTGACTGTATTTTAATATAAGTTATGAAATCATTCCTCTAAATCGTTTTTTACAATGATCAATACGCTTTCTACTTATCATTGAAATACCTATCTCACCGTGTAAACACTGAAATGCACGTTACATGTATGTGAATACTGTCAATATAATTTTATCTATAGATTTACCTTCGCCGATCGTATTATCTTTTTGGCGTGTTACAGCAGGAAGAAAGTAATGGAGAATTTATGGTGGATTTTTGTTTTTGTTTGCGTTGTTGTTATAATTGCTGCTGTTTTTCAGTCCATGGATCAGTTTTTAGCAAAAATTCCATCTAATAAACAACATGAAAAGGTTAAGAAAAAGAATGTGAAACAATCAACAGAAACAGATGAAGGTTCAACATTGACAACGCGTGAAAAGTGAGTTTCATATCCAATGTTTATTTTTAATATAACGGAAAACGATTTCTTTTCTAATAATTTACAGATATAGTTATAATCTAAGTAATACTTAAGTTGATTTTGTTTTACACATTGTTCAACACTAAAGCAATATCTCACTTTTGGTGGAGACCGTGAAATCGAAAATAAGGGTAAAGTATGGTTGCATGCAAGACCAACGTTCTCATATTCAAGGTCACTTGGAACTCAAAGGTCATATAATGTCTGGCTTATAATTTTGAAATTGCTCAATTAAATCTATTTACAGTAATTGGTTTATTTGCTTTATGCGACAAATATGATTATATTACCCTTGAAATATATATTTGAAAAAGTAGTGCTTGTTTAAAATTTCAACGAAAAATATTTGCACTGAAGATCAATATTATATTGTTTTAGTTTGTGTGAGTTGGGGGCATACTTGAAGTAATGCCGTTGATTTCAGATTAATATATTAAGCTTTAATGCGTTATTACTAATCTATACGTTCCGTACGAGGAAAGTACTATTGTTTTAAATCAAAGCACTGAATGTACTGATGGGGAGGCTATGACAGAATGTTTCAGACTTATAGTTTCTTTTCTTTTTGCTTAAAATGTGCTGTTAAATAAGAAGATATGCACATTGCGCCATTTATCGTTCAACCATTCATATATATGGTTAATACGGTTGACTATTCATTTTGTTAATATTCCAGAACATTTCATTGAGGTCTACATTCGGATTGTTAATCATGCAAATTTTGAAAAACCTAAAAACCATTCATAAAAGACATACCAGCAGGTATGACGACTGTTCATTATAATATCATAATACCATTTTACAACTGACGGTTCCTTATCAAAATATTCTAGGACTGTTCATCATAAATACTTTATGTCATTTTAATATCATTGAACGAAAATAACAACTGCAAGTTAAGCAACATTTTAATTGAACATAAAAATTATACATATTTACATGTACCATAATTGAGATCAATAAGACACTGTCTTGTGATGAGTATTAATATTCATTCTCTACGGACAGAAAGTTGTCTTCTCCCGAAGCAAATCTCGAATAAAATCACGTTTCAGAAAATTATTCCCATTTCATTACTCGTCGCTGACTTTGACGGCTTCGGATAATATTAAAGCTAAATATTTCTTGAAAAAATACATATCTGCAAAGCTTATTCAAAATTGAATCAACCTAAGTGAAAATTGATCAGGAAGTTATATCTTCTTTTTTACCGCCAACACTCAACCAACTTATGGTAGTTAATCGATAGATTTTAAACCTCGCTAGCTTGAAATATATACTGCGGAAAATCTGTTGTTAACAGGGTGTGCGGTTATCACGTAGGGTTTTCCTTGTCGACCATTTCCCGCAAATAGATGAGAACATCGAAGCGTCAGTGCTATAAATGGTGTTATAAATAGCGTGTTTTGGAGGTTTTTGTTGAAAATTCTCCAAATCCCTCCAGGGATATGCACGTCGCAGAGAAGCCACACGGCAGGTCAAGTCATCTCAAGTACCAGAGGTGATTGTTTGACCTGTCGTAACTTACTCTGGAGGTTTGGCGCTAGTGAACGCCGTTTTTATTGTCGTCAATCAGGAAGTTGATGCCTTGACAGTACTGTCGTCTCCTTTACCACTAACGAACGAAGAATGGGCTACCAGGAAGATTCTGCTTCAAACAGACGTCCCCGATGCAATAATCTCGGACATATGGTTATTCCTGCGCCGAGAATAAATGAACTTAAAACACACACTCTTGTTGAAAAAAAAACAAAAAAAAACAACAACATATTTTCTGTAGTAATTTTTCAAGTGTTGTAAAATGAAAACGAAATTCGGTTCATGCCGCCAATTAATTTTAGAACACAAGCATATAAGTTCTTTTTATTTGATTTATTCAAATAAACAATAATCACTTAAGCGCGCGCAAATATCGTTTTCAAATTAAAATTTCGTAAGATACAAATGTATGTTGATGAATTTCCGATGCCCGACTGTAAGTCATTCGTATATATATGCGGTTTTTGTTTTGTTTTTGTTTTTTAAAGCTTCTTATTCTTTAATATTTTTATGTATCTCACAATCTGTATTGAAAATTATTACACATGGACTATCAAATTATGATTCGTTGCCCTAGAATTGAATAAACTTTCTAATTACACAATACGGGGTCATTCATTTGATTGAAGACTGATCTTTGTGTCTTTCTCTGAAATAATTATTTCCTTGTTAAAACATATTTGACCACATATTTCTGTCATTTAACTGTTCACTTTACTTCCGATTTTTGTTGTACCGAAACACATGTTTCTATTTGTGATTTCTATTCGAATCCATAATCAGTTTAATGGGATCACCACCGGGTAAACGACTACTAGGTACTTTGGTCATGTTTTTTACCCCAAATATTTGAATGTTTCTATTGGGATTAAAATGAGCGTAGATAACTAAACAACTGGTTGTATAAATCCCTGACCTGTCTAATTCTAATTATGAGATTAGTGGATATATTAAGACATTCAATACAAAATATTCCTAAACAAAAGAGCACATGTTTAAATTTATTCCTTTACAAATAAAAGATCAGAGTAGGGATCTGTCAATTGCCAGACATATTTTTAAAAGATACTTTTATGTTAAAAGTTTGATTAATGAATTATGTAACTAAAGATGAAAATATAAGTATTGTTTTTTTTATTTTGCTAATATTAAATGTAATCTTGTGGTGAAATTTTGTCGGATTTTGTAGTTAAATAGTTTTTTTTCGGCGATACATGGTTTAAGAATATAATGTTTTCAAACTATATGTTCATCCCCATTAGTGAATGTTTAGTTAAATGTATGCAAAATATTTACTAACAGCTATATGATATAGCGGTTTATGAGCGTTTTCCGCGTACAGCCTCCTAAGGTGTACTAATAAGTTAGTTTTCCTTAGTTATCACGCAAGCATGATCCATGTATCTGATGTAAGCGACAGTTTACCATTATTTGTCTTTAAAAAATATAAAGGACTATTAATGGTTTATAACAACAAAAGAACATGCATGATATTGAGACTACGGTGTTGCAACGTTCTAGTTAATGACACGTCATAAACAGTTGGTCGCTGCGTAGTAATTGGAAAATTGTTATCAAAAATAATAAAGAATATTTGCCACCTAATTAAAACATTTACCTATAAATTTTCATTTATGCTTTTTGTTTAAAAAAGATTGATAAAGTTATTATATAAAAGGTTTTTCATACCAGAACTATTTATTACCAACGTACGTATGCCTAAACCTGATTACCGCGGCAGTATGACGTCACGGAGTAGTGATTTTGAAAAAAATAACAAACAAAATCAAGAATTTTTCAGAGAATTATTATCTTTACAAATTGCAGATATGAAATAAAAGAATGAAAATATTATCATATTGTAAATGTCTGTGATGAGTCAGCTTAGAAAAAATCAAGGTACTATTTTTTGACCTGATTACCGCGGCAGTAAGATTTGACGGATGGTATTAACATTGGGTAGGCATAGCCTCCCCAAAAATAAGAGGTACAAAACATCATATATATTTATTGATCATTATATCATCACATACCTGATCATTATTTACCTTTCGTCTGAAAGAGATATATTTAACATTGTTTAACAGATAAAGCATGGTATTGAGGGCAATATGCATGTTTACGGACTGGTTGGTCAAACTGGCCCGAAGCGAATTTTATTTGCTCAGTGTGTGAAATATCTCAAACCTAAGCCGGATGTATTTTTATTATTCTTTATTGTCGTGAAATTCATACGCCGTAAAAGTCGCTATTTAACAGTCTGTATAAAACTATGGACTGGGTAGCCGGTCTGTATGCGATTTTATGGACTGGATGGTGTCATATTAAATATGGAACGGCGTATGCAAATGAGATATTATATAAATATATAATTGTCCGGAATACGTGTGGTGTGAACATGTTGAAAAGCGGTGGCTCATTCAAGCCACCTGCTTATGATTACGCAATAGGCGAGGCTACACATGTTGACATAGTTTATCTTATTGTAAAACTGTAGTATTTGAAAACCAGATAAATGACATTGCTAAAACATTGTGTTAAAGCTATAAAATATGCCCCTTTCTTTATAGCTATTGATTTCAAACTGTCTGGTCATTTGGGTTCATTGATTGGAATTTCATTACGTTGACTATAAATGCTGCTATGACATAAGGGGACGTAATTTCTTTTTAATATATCAAATATACTTGTTTTTCTACATAATTAAAAAGTTATTTTGTTTTCATTTTTTTTTCAATTTATTTGGATGCAAATTTGTGGTAAAGAAAAGTATAATGACATTTGATATGTCCATAATGATCACAATCAAGTCAATATTAAGGCTGCAATCAATAGCATACATTTAACACATTTAAGGTTTTAACTAATATTATGATTTGTATAATACGGATATTATCTGACTCTTACCCGCCATTGAACAGCGATTCATTCTTTGGTCTGACAATAAATGTGCAATTTTAGTAATAAACATTTGTGTCTGCAAAGTGCGCTGAACAGGTGTCAAAGTTAAATGTGGTTAAAAGCATTGTAAAAATACATGAATATAATTATCAACAATAAACGGAAATAAAAGGCATAACTGTTATTCAAAATCTTACATTACATACCATTTTAATTCTTCAATCAAGTGATAGTTAATGAAGGGTAGTGGTTTCGTGTAACTAATTTTTGTATAAACTTATTGCTACTCTCGGTCATTTCCTTTTTTCTTTAGGTATATCTAATGATGTACCCTTCAACTCAATAAGGGTTATCAATTTGCCTCTAATTATCATACTTTGCATGTGTATTCTTTTGTGTATCGCTCTCATTTCCTTTTCCTTATAAATCATATTAAGACCTTTTCATTCGTCCTTATTGTTTTTTTATATTTTGGTTGTCAAGATTGATAGAAACGAGTTCGGTCAAGAAACGGAAAC